ATAAGAATTTGTATCAATAATCTTCAGGTAATTGATTATCCACACAAAATAAAGTTTACCTTGTAAAACCCCAGACCGCATTTATGGATACATTTTCGGCAACATTCTCTTGATATATTTAAACCAGTTACAGTATTCCATTTAACTGTTACTTCGCGAAGAGTACTTCTTCTCGCAGACTTGCAAAATTTTACTACATTTTGTCTAACGTCTACATTGGCAAATTCGCCGTATTTTTTTATTATTTTAAAGACCGTGGTTTTTGGAATACTTAAATCATCAGAAATTTTTCGAATTGTTTTTCCCCTACTGTATTGACGAATGATAATTTCGCGTAGTTTTTGATTTGTAGCTTTTCCACGGACCATTACCTTGAATTAAATTAACAAAATTGAAAATTAAAATTACTTACAGTAAATCCCACTACTCAAAGTATCGAGTCACTTACAAGCTGTCAATACAGAAGTAAACAGTTTGCGACATTTGGGACATTTATAGCAAAGCCGCCTATGATGATATTAATTATTTAAAAATACTTGTCCCAACATTTAGTTGTCAGCAAATTTGTCCTTTTATAAACAAAATCCGCTACTGTAAATATGGATTGATTTACAAATTCATAAAAATATTGTCAAGTTGTTTAGGATATATAGCTATGTTTATATTTAAAAAATTAAACATATATTTTTCAGTCATTTTGAAAAACAAGGGCAATAATTCCAAAATATGACCTTGTCCCAACATATATTTGTTAGGGCTCGTAAATATATCAGTACACTGCTAAAAACACTTTTAAAAACATTTTTAAAACAACAAAGTTTATTCGTTGTAGTAAGCCAGGAGAAATTACAATATTTGTTAACAATTTAAAAATAAAACACATATCTAAAACCTAACTTCTGACTTCATCTTACAAACTCAACCCAAAGTGCTCACTTAATTCAGCCACTTTCATGTGTACATGTTCAATGTCAATAAATCTCTCTTGGTCTTGGTTAATTTTTAAGAGTGAAATGAACTTATCACCAACAATGTGCAATTTTTTCAATTAACATTTCTTTTTAAAGTTATTTTTCTCTATAACATAGCGGCTTTGGTGATTATTGTGAACTATATACTACTATAAACTGCCCATCATGTTTGACGTTTGAGAAATGCTCCTGCCAAGCATTAGAGGTCGGAAAGCGGTACCAGCTTCATTAAATGAATTTCGTTTGGTTCTTAACGAAGGTATATGGTATATGCAGCCTCAACGACAGTTTGAACGAACATATACAGGCAGTTATAGCAGCCAAGAAAGGCAATAAAAAATACTATGGTATTTTTTATAATTTTTTTTTTCTGTTTGTATACTTGAGTATTACAGATGTTTTCTTTAATATCATTAGATTTGTTATAGTTAATAAAGTTTATTAAAACCAGGACTGTATCAATGCAGCGTAATATGACGTTACGACAATAGTCAAACCATCTCGTCATATTAAAAAATTACATGAAAAAGTAATGATAATTGAAAAAATTGCAAATTGATCAGTTCATTTCGCACTTAAAAATTAACCAAAGCATGTATTGACATGAATCAAAAATCAAAATTCTCAGGAGTCATGGTTCTGACAAGAAAATTATAAATTACAAAATTTACACACGAAATTATTGCACAGGGTGTTTTAAAGTTAGGGTAAAAGAGCACAACCCCCCGATTAACCCTGTATAATGTGCCAAATACTAAAAAACTTAGTTTATGAATTAAAATTATTGATATAATTATATACAGTTAACTAAAAAAATCATAAAAATACCACTAAAACTATCAAAAATATAAAACTTTAAATTTGACGAAAAATTTCTCCGTTGCGTTTTTTTGCATCTGAGTGTATAAAAAAATATTTTTGTTTTTATTTTTATAAAATTGGCTTAAAACAATACTGTAAAGCTTGTATATCAGCATTGACAGCAATCATTTCCTGTATTTACTTGTTCTTTCCCCCCATCATTAAAGCAAAGGTAATAATCATTATTTCTCGTTTCGAAAATCTATTTTGCTCATCTTCAATCGTGTTATTTGTACCGTTTGTGCCCCACTAGCATTCGGCAGCGCACTGGATATCCAAAACATAGCCTGGAAAACTGGAGCTGTTTGTCGAGTCTTAAGCAAATGAAGACAAATGGCGGACATTATTACCTTAGCCCGGCCGGGGCATCTGTCACAGCACCCTATCTCCCCACATTTCGACCAGTTGCGAAACTCTTTTATCTCTCTTTTATCGCATTGTCTTACTTTTTCTCGCGCAGAGTGGCTTTTACTTTATCCCGAAAGAGGAATTAATGGAACAGCTAGTGGCGTCGTGTAAACTTAAAAGAAACATAAAAATAATACGTTAATGTTTGTTATGTGACAACATATTGGCCTCTTATTTAGAAAGTGTCCTTGTTGTTATCAATCAAAATATGTTATAATTTGATTAATTTTGAAATTACGATTTTTATAGATATTTGAATCGTCGAATGAAAGAAATTTAAAGCTTTGCTGAGATACAATGAAAATCAAAACATCTACTATTTTACCATATTTCAAAAGTATAATTGAAGGAATTATTATTTAACACATTATGAAAACCTATTAATAGAACAACGACCACAGTTTTTACAAAACAATGAAGCCGTCACTATTACAGAAGCTAGAACAGATATATCGATCGAGGAAGTTAAACAAGCCTTGGTGTCTATGAAAAACGGTAGAGCTCCAGGACCGGGTGGTATTATGGCTGAAATGCAAAAATATGGCGGAGAATGTCTTATAACAGAAATAACAAAGTTAATGCAGATGTGTGTAGATAGGAATAAAATACCTAATGAATGGAAGTTAGCCTATATCACTTCTATATATAAAAAAGGGAACAGAAAAGACCCGAATAACTACAGAGGTTTAAGTGTGAATTGCACCTTCAGCAGACTTTTTACAAGAATAATTAGAAATAAGTTAGAAATATCTACTTACAACAAAATCAGTGAAGAGCAGAGTGGCTTTACTGCAGGGCGTTCATGTATAGATAATCTATTTACTATCCAACAACTGATAGAAAAACGGAATTCACGTGAAGAAGATACACATCTAGCTTTTGTAGACCTTCAAAAAGCTTACGACTCCATCCCCAGAGTTAAACTATGGTACATACTGGAACAACTTGATGTGGATGAATGTCTCATAAATTTAATTAAGGTGCTGTACAACAACAACACAGCTCATGTTAAGAGCGGTAACCGACTGTCTGAGGCATTTTTACGACCAAGGGCCTTCGACAGGGATGTCCTCTGTCGCCTCTTTTATTTAATCTGTATTTGGAAGTGGTTCTTAGGGACTGGAAGAAGAGGTGTGGGGGAATGGGCGTCCCTGTAGGAGATGACTGTTTGGTTACATTAAATTTTGCCGATGATCAGGTGGTCATAGCTCAAGATGCTTACGCCCTTGAATTCATGATGAGCAGATTAAATTCGGCATACACGGAATGGGGCTTTACTGTGAACATTGATAAAACGGAATATCTAGTGACCAATTCAGATGATAAATTTGACATTTTTATTACTGACAATGCAAAGCTCAGACAGGTTGAATGGTTTAAATATTTGGGGGCACGTATAACCAGAAAGGGACTGGACAAAACAGAAGTATCTGCTAGAATAGAACAAGAGCGGATGATTATAGGAGCACTGAATGGCATCTGGTGGGACAAAAACATAAGACCAAACACAAAAGTACATATTGGAAGAGCCCTAGTGGAGTCGGTAGTAACTTATGGGTGTGAAGTTTGGACCTTAAAAGCTGAACAAAAGCGAGCTTTGAATGCACTCGAAGTGGACTATTTGAGACGCAGTGCGGGAGTATCTAAACCGGACAGAGTTAGGAACGTGGAAATCAGATCCAAAATGGATGCCACACAGACAATAGTGGATAGAGTCGAACAGAGGGGCCTTAAGTGGTTTGGACACTTGCTACGCATGGAACACCAAAGATGGCCCTACCGTATCTACAGCTGGTCACCTCCTGGAAAAAGGAAAAGAGGACGGCCTAGAAGATCTTGGAATGATGCACCCTGATGGCCATCAGAAGGGCAATGGAGGACCGTAACTTGGAAGAGGAAGATGTTCTTGATCGTAACAGGTGGCGGTTAGGCGTGGGGATGCGACGTTAGTTGCGACAACCCTGGAGTATATATATAATTGAAGGACTTGTTGTAATATCACGATTTGCTACAAATCCATAATTCCGAATTATTAGACTTTGCAGTTTTGAAAAAATGTGTAAATTTAACTATTAATAAAATATAAATTTGAAGACGTTTTAGAGTTAGTTTACTTTAACTCGCTTTAAGTATTTATGTAACAAATTTGTTGAATAAAAGGCAATAAAAAACACAGTTACTAGTTAATAAAACTGATTTCTGGTTGAATGGCTTATGTTATTACAATAAGCCCTTTAACTATAAACCACAATAACATTGCTTTAGCATTTTCGACATATTTGATTCCATCTTCACTAGTACCTTATTACTGTACCACGTTAGCTTGAGTACCAAGACACGAGAGTCAGAAATGTAGGGTAGGTTAGATGAAGTGACCAAACAAGGCTGATTAATGCCATTCATAGGCATTCAGAATCTGTCTGCAGCGTTGCAACAGCACTAGAAAGACCACAAAACAATGGGTGACCAACAAATCTCTAGAGTGATGAAGAATTAAGTTAGCATGGAGTACTTATGGAGGAAACTCAATCATATTTAAATCTAGAATCCCAATCTATCTAAAGAAGAAAACATTCGACCAATGTGTACTACCAGTCATGACCTAAGCATGCGAAACCTGGACACTTAAAACGGACATCATAAGGAAACTGCAAGTCGCACAACGTTTACTGGAAAGAAATATGCTGGGAATAACCAAGATGTACCCTAAAGAATAGAGTAGATACGACAAAATACCCAGGTAATAGGATCAAATCCTTCAATTGGCAATAGGCAGGACACCTGGCAAGAAGAACGGATAAGAGATGAACCACAAAAATTACAGCATGGTACTCACGAGTACTTAAGAGACCTAGAAGAAGACCGAACATAAGATGGGACCATGATATTAGGAAATTAGCAAGGATAACTTGGGCTCTCATAGACAATAGACAACAATGGGCCCAACTACAAAGATAGTATCTAAGGGAGGGTACACCATAATTAGAAATGGTTGAATAAGCTGAAAATTATGATATTTCCACGAAAGATAGATCTCGATGTCTTCAAATGCAAATGGAAATTTAAGCATTTTAACTAGGATGGTTTTGTCATTATGCATGAATATAAAAATAGTTCCTTGATCTTCTTATTCAAAGCATCTCAATAATCAATACGAGAAACTTCTGTTTCAGTTAGTTACAAGTTCAACCGCACATAAAGCATTCCTTTAACCTGAACTGCCGGAAAATAAAGGATCTTAATTTTTTAATCGCAAGTCAGGAACGACCGCGCGCGAGTTGCTCCTCAATTCCATTAAACTTTCTTCTTTGACGCAGTCGAATTCAATTTAGACCCAACATAAACTTTCGATCTGTGAAGCGAAATTTGGGGCGGGCAATGAGGGGTAGGGGTTGATGCGGGAATTTAATCGAATTCTATCGACAGCTTGCGCGTTTGAAATCGTTGTTAATTCCATTCTGCGGCTGAAGGGTCACACTCGCCGCGAATGTCTTGGAACGTAAAATCACGGGCTACGAAACCCTGGCAGTAGCAGGCCTAAAACTGATTAGTGGACCTTAGTTTTGACTAAAGAGCTTAAAATATTTAGGGCATGATCTTCAAAATTCTAATAAGAATTTTAGCTTTAATGCATCTATGAATTTAATAGAATCTTTTGGCGAAGAACGGTTGGGTTTTCTATTGCGTGAGGAAGTAGGTGTTCTCTGAAAAAACGGTCCTCATTTTCACACATTTTAAGATGTCATATTAAATTGAAACTTCGCATAAATAAAAAAAAAATAAAAAAAAAAGAAATTTTGCACCTTTATTAAAGATAGATGACAATATAATGACAAAATTGACATTATGTTAATTTGTGTCACTCTATTGTCAATTACGGCAAGAACTCTGTATGTCAAGATGTGTACACTTGTAAGGTATAGTACACTAGTAAGTATCTACATCGCCTAACAATAAAAGCAGATTAGTTAAAACTACTATTTTTAATGTATTTCCTTGATATTTTTTCCGGAGAAGTTCAGTTTCATTATGCGGAATTCTCTAGAGGGTGATTCACAGCCATGGCACGTTAGACGTTTATGGAGAACTGGTGATACGATTTTTTCAATATTTGGATTTTTGCATAAAAGCATCTGCTCCATCTGTCTAAATTACTTTCAGCATCACAATGTTGCCGCTTCATACTAAAAGTAGTAGCATCTTTGTTATTTTGAATGAAACACCCGGTATATCATTATATTTTTCGAAACTACTTCCATATCCCAAATTTTTTCTATTATACCAATCTCTAATAGTTTTCGAGATAAAAAATAAAACATACTATGCTTTAAACTTTACTATGCTCTCTAGAACAGCGTGCGGCCCGTCTGGCTGCCGGTAAACGTTGCGTTCCATACTGCGCATTGAAAGAAGATCCTATATTTTTATTAGTCCATTAAATTCTAAAGTATTGAATATAAATTGAACATGTCTCCATAGCGCAGTGCGCAGAGTTTCAGACCACCAACCGAGGATTCAGAGTTCGAATCGGGATCAGGGCAAAAGCTTTTTTATTTTGTTTTCGTTTATATTCTGATAGTATATATATAATAGAATATAGATAATATTTGTTTTTTTTAATCACCAGAATTATTTAATACTTTACTATCAGAATATAAACGAAAATAAAATAAAAAGTCTTTGCCCTGATCCGGATTCGAACTCTGAATCCTCTGTTCGTAGTCGGAAACTCTACGCACTGCGCTATGGAGACATGTTCGATTCATATTCAATACTACAATTTATAGGACTAAATTAAAAAAAATATAGGATCTTCTTCCGATGCGCAGTAGTGAACGCAACGGGTATCGGCAGCCAGACGGGCCGCATGCTGTTCCAGAGAGCAGAAAGCATAGTAAAAGATATATCAAAGAGCCAGACGTCTTAAAATACTTTCTCGAAAACCTTGCTAGCTCTTAGACTATTGGTTAAATCATAAATTCGGCATATTGAAAGCTGAAATATGAATGGTTTATACGTTAAGGAAGGTCGCCATGTTCGATCTGCCTAAATCAACCGATTAGATATCAAACAAGGAGATAAAAAAAATTGTTTGTTGTTGGATATCTTAAATCATTGTTAGGTATTTTAAATTCAAGCCTATGTATGTTACTTCAAAATTCAAAACACAAATAAAATTGCTTTTCAACGATATGTTATGTTCCTAAGTAGCCTTTTCAGTTTTTACCAGAAACGAACAAGTTCGAAACAAAGTGTTTTATTGCTTCACGAAAAATATTTGCCCTTGAGGTCCATATATTTTTGCATGCGCTTAAACCAATTCTGGAAACATTTTTTCCACTCTGAAGCTGATATCGTAGAAACATAGTTTTAAAAGTCTTCAACAGCTTCTTGAGGTGATGAAAATCGCTGTCCGCGCATCTTTTAATTGACAGTGGTGAACAAGAAAATGTCATTTTCTTGTTCATGAGGATATTTCATGAGGATATATCAGGTCAATGCGGACAGTGAGACATTAATTCGATGTTTTTCTCCTTAAATATTCAAATAATTGTTTGACGTGCTTTATCGGAGCTGGCATTGTCGTAATGAAGAAAGATGCGACGTTTCTTGTTCTTTTTCCTTATTTCATCCAAGACCGTTGGCAAATAAATTGTTGTATACCATTCGGCATTAACAGTTCTTCGATTCTCTAATGGAATGGTTGTGACATGTCCAGTTCAACCGAAGAAACAAGCGATTGTAAAAACTTAAAAGGCAACCTACGTATACTTAAACCTTTTGCTTTCTCCAGTAAAACCATTTAAAAGATAATATATTCTAATTGTTTGGTTTAAAGAAAATCGTTACCATGACAAAGATTCGAACTTTATAAGTATCAGTTAGTTTTAATTTTCAGTTAAATTTCAACAATTCAGAATCACCTTATATGTTAGAGATCTCCTGATGACATGTTCCGTCCACATCTGAAGACATGGATAGTTCCTTCTACTCTACACACTTTATTATTTTTTATGTAAGATATTATATTCCATCCATATCTGAAGTTATGTAACCTGGGTAAGTTCATTATTTATTTTTATCAATTTACTGTTATTCTATTTTTTTTTAATTGTTTAATTTAATTAACTATAATTACTCATCTATCATTGTTGGACAACATTTGATTTTATACTAAAATTATTGATATAACTGCGCCACATTTTAAAATTAAACATTTTTCCTTTTAAGTTGGTTTCGAATTTATGGAACGGAACTTCGGGTATAGGCTGTCACCGGCATAATGGATCAGACGAGAGAACCGCACCTCTTTTTAAAATTTAACACCTTAAAGGTGTAAATATTGAAATTTTCCTATAAAATGGGTCCCTTATTGGTTTTTGTTTACCGATTTAATGCCTTATTTTAAGCGTTTAATTGTTTGGTTGCCTCTAATGGATTTTTGTTTATTGTATAAATAATATGAAACAAGCAAAGCGTTTAATTAATTTGCCATTTTTGATCAGTAAATCCTAATGGTTTAAAGTTTGTATTATTTTCTGAAAATCCAGGTCATTATATTCCAGGCAACGATATTCCTAATGGGTACCATGCTGTCAAAAATCAAAGGCGTGTTTCTGGGGTCGAAATATACCACCCCTAAAAATATTTGCACTCACTTAAGACGCACCCTCTATATGAAAATATTTTTAAACTGTTTATTTTTGCCTGTATATGTATGTTTTAAAAATTGTGTATGAAAATCTCAAACAGAAAACCTGGTATGGCGTACTAGACCTACACTAACATATTTTTTTATTTCATTCCCAGGTTTAATAGGTACTTCTGTCGCGCATAAGCATCATACAATGTAGT